AGAGAGAGAGAGAGAGAACTAGAGACAGGTGTAGCGGACCTTTGTTGTACTGGAATTTTGTTGTACTGGACCTTCTTTTACATTTTAAAAGGGGCACACTTGGGTTAGGTTTAAGAACCAGAACTACTTATGTTTAGGAAAAGATCATGGTTCATGGTAAACTAAGTACGTTAAGTGGTGGCTTGAAGCTGATTTGGTATTTGGTATTTGACAACCTTGAAAAGAGACTCAACAATCAACTATATTCTCCATGACTGAATGACTGAATCCACTTTTTAAGTAACTTATGTAAGGTTAAAGAAGTCAATGACTTTTAGTTTCACACCATGCAAACATTTTTTGTGTAAAACAATCCAATTTAGAAGCACTACAAGCTCAGGTCAAATAAAACATTGTGGTATGAACAAGCAAACTTCACTACAAATGTATTAATGACTAAGGGAATTTCTTTCCTCCATTGTACATCTCAAATAGAGCAATTACTTGCAGACTGTGTAATGCCTAGCTGCACAAACAACTTGCTATTGACTAATACAGGAATGCCTATTAAAGCTCATGTTTACTTGTCACATATTGTATTTCACAGACATCTTGCTCATTTGAAGAAATTTCATGAGACTGTGCAGGTCAGATTCATCTTGAATGCCCCCCTTTGCCTTGCCATGGTGCAATGTTCCCTTGTGATGTACAGTATAACGAATAAGCTTCATGTTGGACATTATAGGCATCAGTAAGGCTTCTAATTTATCTATTGTGTGTCTTTGTTTGGGGTTTTCTGTAGATGGTTATCCCAAGAATGAGATCATGTACCGGTGGCAGAGACGGGCGGTGGAGGTGGCAGACCAGCGGTACTGGAGACTCTACCAGTTTGCCTTTGTAGGGTTGAGGAACACCACTGATGTGGCACACACTCAGTCAGGTAAGCTATTGTGGGCAAGTCCTCTTACATATTGCCAGTTTCCAGTATTACATGAGGCACTGATACTACAAGAATTTTCATTAGTTTTGGGGAAGAGTGTGAATTATCACGTAGATCCTATTTGTTGATGAATTTAGCCTCTGGGAGCAGCAATCAATGTTTTGGGGCTTCCATAGTCGCTAGCGGAGATCCGGAAAATAGATATCTGGGCCAAGACTTCGTCTACAAGAAAAACACATTTTGATAACCTAAATGTTTAATTGACGCCACCTGATGGTTGAAATTTGCATTTGTGTTCCGAATCTTGTGGTCACCACACAGACTGTTGCAACGAAAGAACCAGAACATTTCCGATGCCAAAATCTTGGTCCCATGCCTACAGATTCATATGCAGATATCTGTTTATAGAGATTGCAATGAAGTAAACCAAGCTTATGTATATGTGCAGTGCTCTCATTGATTTTGATTTTAGTAACCCATTTGTAAGCAGGTAATTCATATTGAAATAACAAGTAAATAAAAACAATTTTTTACACTGCCTTAGCTAAATTCTTAATGTTTTATCTATATATCAACCTAATTGTTAAACCTACAGGCGAATATGTAATCATGACGATCTTTTTCGACCTGAGTCGGAGAATGGGCTACTTTACCATCCAGACCTACATTCCCTGCAGTATGATCGTGGTTCTGTCCTGGGTCTCTTTCTGGATCAACAAGGATGCTGTGCCAGCCCGCACGTCTCTAGGTTTGATATGTTCTTATTTCATACCAGAGTTTAAATTTGTCTTGTTTTGTAAGTCACTGTACTGGCTATCAATCTTTAAAATATTTCAACATAATGAGGAAATTATGGCATTAAAGGCCTGAAAACATACTTTCTCGCCTTCTCCTTCTCCTCTACCTGGTTTAATGTGAACAACTAGATCACATACTTCCTTGAACCAACCAAGATTTTGCAATATTTGAATAAGAATGAGATGACTGCTGGCATTGTTTGGTCACTGTCAATCAAACCTTGTGAGTTTATGTGTTGTGAGTGATTGTTCATCCTAATAAAAAGTCATGGATACTATTGCTGTAGAGAAATGAAGCCAGGTTTACAGGGGATTCTATGCAGGTTTCAAACAGATGGTGGTTTTTAACCGCCCACACCAACCCAGTTGTTCTATGCCATATCGCAAGTAATACCAAAGGGACAACACAGAGACTAAAGATCTAATACTGATACAAAGTTTGTCAAAATACACCTCAATGCTATAAAATTTCACGGATTTCTACTTGGCTTAATGCCTGTCACAATAACTACTCTTATTGGATGATATATTGTCCCAGAAATAATTGTGATTATTGTCATTTTAAGCCCATTGAATGCCAGGCTGAATATATATGATTGTGAGAGGTAGTATTCAAGTTCATAGCCTTTTTCAAATTAATAACAAAATCGGACATGGATGGCTGCTGTGTGGGGAAAGGTGGGGTCTAGCGCAGGGTGGGTTATAGGGTCGATCATTGCTGTAAGATACAATGTGAAGGGTGGGGTTATATGTGAGTGAGTTGTTATTTAGTGTATTATTAGGGTATAGTTTGACTATGGATGGAGTGATATGTATGTTGGTGATTGAGTTAGTAGTATATATTAGTGATAGTTATAAGACAATATTTACTAATGTGATTCATATACTATGACTCATTGTGAATCACATTGGCTAAAATATTGGTGACATTCTTAAACGGTAAGTCGATATCATGTTATAATTACGTATTGAATAAATTGTACAATAAGTCGATAATGTAATTATTGTGACAGGTCTATGTGGGTGTTAAATATTCTGTCAAATTCATTCACCATGTAGCACACAGGCATTCAAATGAATGTAGAGAAAAAGCATTTGATATTCCCTTTCATTAGGTATCACAACAGTGCTCACCATGACAACTCTAAGCACCATCTCGAGGAAGTCCTTACCCAAGGTTTCCTACGTCACTGCCATGGACCTGTTCGTCTCCGTCTGCTTCATCTTCACCTTCGCTGCCCTCATGGAGTATGGCACTCTGCACTATTTCACCAGCAACAGACAGACCAAAAAGGCTAAAGCAAACAATAACACACAGGTACCCAACATTTACTTTCTTTCTTTTCAGTGAGTAATTTTCTTTTGAAGCCACTGAATGCTAATAGTAACATACTGAAATTTCATTTGTGTGTTTTCCTCCACAGCAGAAAGCATCCAGCATGGTGAATATACGACCTGGCACATCCCTCCTGCAGATGAACAACATCGTGCCCTATCACGAGGAGGCTGACTATGCTTACGAGTGTTTGGATGGAAAAGACTGCACCAGCTTCTTCTGCTGCTTTGATGACTGCCGCTCAGGTGCCTGGCGTGAAAACAGGATGCATGTTCGGGTTTCCAAGATTGATTCTTACTCACGAATATTCTTCCCCACTGCTTTTGGCCTTTTCAATCTGGTTTATTGGATAGGTTATCTGTATCTATAAAACCAGTACCTCAAAAAAGGACGACTGGCGTTTAACATCTGCAAGCATTTCACAGAAACAGAGCTGCTCTTGGCTGCTTACCAAACATGGAGGCACCAAATAAACTAAATTGAAATCTAAAGACAAATTATGAATGCCAATGCTACAACAAGGTGGCATTCTCTTAACCCTGAAATGTGATTTTCTAACAAGAAATTTCTATTTTTAACCCTAAAAATACCCTAAATAATACCATCAATCCTTCTATCTATTCTCCGCAACTTATCCAGGTCAGCTTTGCGGTGGCAGCAAGTTAAGAAAGGTAGCCTGAACATCTTTCCACCTAGTCATATCTTCCAGCTCACCAGGGCCCATGTTCCAATAAAACATTGTATTAGTGCCCTCTTGCATGCCCCTAAGGTAGATAAAAATGAATACAGTGCCCTCTAGAAGTGACCCAATGTACAAGAAAACAGGATAAAGTGCCCTCTAGGGTGCCCTTCAAGTAGAGAAAATGCAATGCTTGGCCATACAGCCTGCCCTACATGCTAGAATTTTATAAGGAGTATGGTATAGACCTGCTCTATTTGAAAAGTGTTCTGAGATAACTTCTGGTATGAATTGGCGCTATACAAATCAAATTGAATTGAAAATTCCTACATAGCAAAAATGGTCCAGTGATGGCCCCCACAGCCTACTTACACTCAAAAGAAAGAAAGTTGTGACGCATTTATGGTGAAACAGTTTGGCCCATACACTTGGCCCAAATACAGCAATGACTTCAGTCTAGATGTGGGCAAGATCTGGTGGTCACATATGGCCCTTGACATAGCTGGCCCTACGTTGGACCAGACAAGTTCCAGCACTGGTTCCACTGAACACACACAAAAAAAGACTTGTCTGGTCCAATACATGGCAAGCTATGATTATTTATTTTGGCTGAATGTATGGGCCAACCAACAGGGCTATGTGGGATAATTAATAAATACATCCTGACTTTCTGTGCTCTTGTGCCCTTTTTATTTTCTTCCCCCCTGCCCCAAAGAAAACTATGTAGATATATAATAGGTGTACATTTCTACCTTGTTCACCATTGCACAATGAAAATAGGGCCTCAAGTGTTTCATTCATTAAAAAGGGGGAGCTTGACATTGAGGCTAATGACTGTAGGTAAATAACTCAATATAACTGTATTAAATGTTTTACTTTGACAGCAAAAGTGCTTCATAATATTGGCCAACTCCACTCATACTCCGCCTTTTTCACATGCTTTTACAACCATTAAAATGTTGGGTTCTAATTGCCAGGTCCATTTTGGATACTGTTCAAGGTCGACAAAATAACCTGATTCACCAAGCTCCAATGCTAACAACTCTCTTATTGGGCCTTTTATCTCTTCTTATTCATTTTTTATTAGCAAAGAGCAATGGAAAAAACATTCAGGTACATTTAGGCTTCATTTTAATCTAGCATGCTGTTGCTTTGGCCGGTTATAATGACAAACATTGCCAGTGGAAGATTATTTCAGCTTTAGTTAAAAAATGTTAACAGCTAAAATTAACTTGCAAATGTGATTTAAACCTCATTAAATTAAATTAGGATTTGAAAGGATTCTGATTCAAAAAGGCAGATTTGATACTGGATTTTCTAACATGCTGACAAACCCTAACCCAGCCTATAGCAGCTCTGACCCCAGAAACGTTTGCACAAGTAAAACTCCAGTCTACACAGAGGATATATTGCCATCAAACCTAAAAAAAATAGCTCAAATGTTTGTTTACTCTCTGCCACCGTGCTATTGATATTGTAGACGAGCAGGAAAGAGGAAGTGCATTGCCCTTTCAGCTGTAATATGGAATGAAGGGGTATTTACCCTTAAAGGTATATTCCCTGATTTTCTTAGAGTGGCCAATAGCTCAGTTGAGTTTCAAGATTTAAAACAGAGTTTTGGGATTCAGGCAGACTATTGGCCACTATAATACAACCAGGGTGCATATCTTTCTATATCTGAACAACTCCATTGTTCATAGGGTTCTATTTTTCTAGGCAACACCTCACAGCATTAAGATTAGTGAGGTCAAACTGGTCTAGCCTCTGCTCAGAAGCTACTGCATGAAATGAATTTGTAACCTGTCAAATAGTGAATTGTCTTGAACAATGATGGTTGTTTTTCCAGCAGCCAGATTTTATACTATTATGTATCATAAGTTACAAAAAGTGGGAGAATTGTCCTTGATGCACTGTTCAGGCAAATGTGCATACA